GAGGAGAGGCATTCAGGAATAGTCAAGTGTGAGGGAAGGTTAGGGTTTATTGGGGGATGGGGATGTGAGGGTGAGAAGGAGGGAAAAGTGACAGACGATAAATGACGGTGTCTTACACTGAGCAGGCAATATATTTAGTGTAGTATGAGCTGGCAATATATAAGTCTAATGTCAAAATTCTTTAACCAAATTATAAACAAAGAATAGATTAAGCCAGCTTTACATTCAAGAGTGACATCACTAATGAGTGTTGCAGAACACAAAAGTTTGTGACATCATTCGTGAGCGACAGTGTACAAGAACTGGTGCCATCACTAAAGTGCGATAGCATAGATGACATTCCTAAAGAGCGACTTTATAACATGAGAGTTGGTGACACCGCATGTCATTGACATAGCACATAACAGTTGGAGACATCACATAATATGAGTTTCAGTTTTAGTAAGAGTTTTACGCCACTTGCGACACAATAAGGTCATATAAGTGGCAAAGATTAGAGGTGTTACAAGAGAGTAAAAAACATAAAAAAGGAGGAGAGATCAGGACACACCAGAGCACCCACCAACCACCCACATAATATGAGTGACATAGAAACTAGTGTCAGTGACACGACATGTGAATGACATGAACACTAACGTCAGTGACATCACATGTGAGTGACAAAGCACACGACAGTAGGTGACATATGGGAGTGACACAGGCCACAAGAGCTGGTAGCGTCAATAAAGGGCAACGGCTCAAGAACTAATGACATTCCTTATGAGTTGTTGACATCATAACATATGAATGACACAGCACACAAGACTTGGTGACATCACATGCGAGTCATACAGCACACAAGACTTGGTGACATCACATGCGAGTCATACAGCACACAAGACTTGGTGACATCACATGCGAGTCATACAGCACACAAGACTTGGTGACATCACATGCGAGTCATACAGCACACAAGACTTGGTGACATCACATGCGAGTCATACAGCACACAAGAGTGGTGGACTTTGCGGAGAGGGAGAGCCAGCATAATGACATCCAACATTCTCCTCTAGTAGCAAAAAAAAAATAAGAGACAGGAGCAAACGATCCTCGTGAGAAGCAGAAGGTACTGACCATCTCAGAGCACTTGAGACTCAAATAAGAATTAGTGAATACCTTCACAAATGACTTACTATAGTACATGTACCGCATAATTTCTTCACGTTCCCTGTGGATTCTGCCCTCTGCAAAAATGAAGGAAAAAATGTAATTAAATTAAAGTCATAGCTACTTGATTCATCTGTCTACAGGTGGGAGGGGGTGGGGGGCTGCGTGACGGGGGAGGGGCTGAAGAAAGGCCAATCATAGCTTGGTGTTGCTTGATATTTCAATATCACACATCAAATAATAATAATATTAATAATATCAATAAAAACAAAAATAACAACAATATCTAAAACATGTCAATAACATCAATAATAATATTCTTAACAATAATAAGAATTAATAATAATAGTAATAATAATGATAGCAAATAATATAAATACTAGATCAGATGTTGCATTCCAACCCTGAAAAGTTCATAGAGTTTAACAGTATAACCTATTTACATATGGACAATTGAAACATTATTGCAATTGATTCGCCACAGAATTTTGACTGATCTGCATACATTTTACATGGGAGAAACAAAATAAAGCAATTTCTTCAAAATAGAATTTCACGTAAGCACAGTATATTTCATGTTCAGGGTATGGAAAAGAAAGCATTCTTTGTCTCTCTCTCCATGGAGCTATAATAAAAGCAGGAAGTTTCTGTAATGTGAGCTGGTATCATGCCAGTGTTTTTGGGTTTTTTTCATAAGAGTTTTACGGCACTTGCAACACAATAAGGTCATATAAGTGCCGAAGATTAGAGGTGTTACAAGAGAGTAGCAAACATAAAAAAGAAGGAGGGGAGATAAGGAAGATAGATGTTTGATAGGAAAGAAGAAGCAAACCACACCAGAGCATCCGCCAACCACCCACTTGCCAGTGTTTGGCATGTTGAGAGTAGCGCATCTGCACAAGTCTAAAGGCCAGATATTTCAAACACGAGACAGCACAAATACTCAATACAGATGAACCTACTCAAACAATCACCTATTTAAGACAACCTAAATAGTTTCAGTAAGAACTTGAAACACTTTCAGTAGTCCTACCTGTGACATTCTTTGACTCTGAAAAGTCCCAGACTTCCCCGAGAAACTCGGAACTGTAAGACCTGAAAAGTCAGAGAAACACAAAGCATGTAGCACTCACAGCCTCTTTTTGTGCCTTTTCAATTCTCACAGCCAAAGTACATAGTGGAACATTCATCAATCAAATCTTCATTTGATTCTGTTTGATACATTTGAAGGAGGCCAGGTTTCCTTTAAGGAGAGGCAAAAGCTCGAAATTTTGCACAATTTCATCAAAGTCTGAAAAATCAAATATGTTTGATTTTTTAGATTTAAAAAGTACAGCGCACTGACATAAACGGTTACAGTACAACCATCTCCATCAAATGGAAGCCTATTGAAATTACAAGCAAAATGTTTCGTTTTTAAAAAAAATTTTTATGCTGAACTTTCTACAAGGTACATTTGAACTGAGTACCCTTTGATAATTGATTTGATTTGGTACTCACTACCCAGGCTTGAAGAACTCATCCACACAATGAAGTGACAAAAATAAATACAATTCACACAACATTTTCCTAAACCACTGACTCTTATTTCGTAATGTTGGAGACTTTGGCAGTTTCCTATTCAATAGTATCTACAGTCTAGCATGCACACAGTGAATATATTCATGGTAAAATAATCACAAAGGTAACACATTTTCTGGTCCCCAATTTTTTCTTATACATGTATATTCTTTGTATTTCAAATAAAAACCTTTCAAAATTTGTACGTAATGAAAAACTTTCCGCAACCTGCCAATTTCCCTAAGTGGATGCTAGACCGTATTTGTTCTTTCTGGAATGAAAAAGTGTCATTTTATACAAATTCTTCATTTCTGTTCTTTGCATCAAATGGAGTAAAAAAGGCATCCCCGCCTTGCTCAGATTATGTATGGTATATAATACGTAATGCAAATACAAAAAGCAACCAGAAAACAAATGTTGATACATATACTCACACAGGCAAATACACACCTACATATATATGCATGCATACACATACTCAAAAACATATATGGCGTGAGAGAGAGAGAAAGAGAGAGAGAGAGATAGATGGAGAGAGAGATAGATAGAGAGAGGGAAAGAGAAAGAGATAGACAAAGAGAGAAATAGACAGAAAGAGAGAGAGAGAGAGAGGACAGAGAGAGACAGACAGAGAGAGAGAGAGAGAGAGAGAGAGAGAGAGAGAGAGAGAGAGAGAGAGAGAGAGAGAGAGAGAGAGAAAGAAATAGAAAAAGAGAGAGAGGGAGAGAGACAGAGAGAGAGAGAGAGAGAAAGACAATGTTATCCTTACACGGAACTGTTGGGAGCAGCTGTGGTTGTTGAGATCATGCTTTTGTTACCGGAGGGAGGACCCCCTGAGACCAGAGCTGGGCCTGCAATTGTCGGGAAAAGAACTGGAAATTTTAAAAGTTCTAAATGTCAGGGATTTTTACATCACATTCGACACACTTTAGATAATTTACGAGGCAAGCTTTAATAGTGTCTGTCAGAGCCCACCCAGGCTGAAGCAGACAGCATCATAACCTCAAGTCTACAGCCTGTGACAGCAAAGCCTCTAATCACTATACCACAGACACCCCTGAAAAAAAAAAAAAGTGTCACGACGTGGTGGAATCAGGCGCTCGTCAGTTTTTTTGGCATGTGGAGTTATTGATATTATCGGAAAGCTTTTTCATTTGCCTTGCTTTCAATGAAAAAACAAACAAACGCATCTATCTTGAATAGAAGTCAAGATATTTGCGATTGAAGGAGGTGAGGTCGCCTGGTTTCAGTGATGAAATTAGCATGAAAATGGCTGCCAAAGTTTGATAACTCTAATAGCCAGAGTCCTTGAAAACTGGAAAATTACAAATTTTCGGCCTTTAATTAACGTTTTCAGTCAAATACCCAGGGACATAAAAGGGTTTGAGCCAAAAAACAAAATTTGATAAAAATTGCCTAACTGGCGGAAAAATGCGTTTCTCCGATTTCATTATTTTGACGAGCGCCTGATTTCACCTCGATGCCTCACAAATGACGTAAGTTTTGTTAAAAGAACATCAACCCCCCCCCCCCCCCCCTCCTCCACCCCATTCTTGAATTCTTAACAACTTCAAGATAGCTCTCATACATTCTTGTGTTAAAAAACATGAGGAAAGTTGCCATCCTAGCGTGTAATGTACACATGTGAGGCAGCGTGGTGAAATCAGGCACTCGTCAAAACAGTGAAATCAAGGAAACCGCCATTTTTCTGGGCGTTGGGCAATTTTTTCCCCATATTATCTCTTTGCCTCAAAACCTTTTATAATATCTTTTTAAAAAAAATATTTTTGAGTGGATGTTACAGAAAAATATATTTTTGTGTGGATGTTACAGAAAAATGTTCACTAAAGGCACAAAATATGTAAATGTTCAGTTTCCAAGGAAACTCAAGCTTTGGAAGTCACCAAACTTTGGCGGCCATTTTTGAGCTAATTTTATCTTTCATATCAGTCGACCCCACCACCTTCTTCAGTCACAGATACCTCGACTTCTATTCAAAATAGAGGAGTACTCTTTTTGCCAAATGCAAGACAAATGAACATGCTTTAAGATGCTACCAATATCTCCATATGCCCCAAAATTGACCAGCGCCTGATTCCACAGCGTTGTGACAAATGTTAAAAAATTAACCATACAGGATTTCATAACTGTTCTACAATATAGAACTTTTATAGGAAAACAGATGAAAGATTTGAAATCTGCGAGAACCAAAATGTACTAATCATGTAAATCTTTAATTTTGAAAAGGACCACAAAATGACTGAAACAGTTCATCACATGCTACATGTCTTTTGATTCAATGACTTGCAACAGATAAATCTTTTCTACACTTTTCATATTGGATATAACCCATTTCGTAATGGAGCCATTTATACAGTGTAACACTGATAGCTTGAATTCGTCGGAACCGGCCTCGGTAGTTTGTGGGATCTGTAGTTCGAGGGATATCTTACAAAGATAAAAAAGAAGACCGCAGGCCCAGTTCCACGGATGCGTGATTTCGAGTCTTCTGTGTTCAACCTATTCTGTATTATACTATATATTGATCTTCCATTACAGTTAGCAAAAAACTTACCCAAGACAAAAGAGAGGGCACCACCAAAGTAGTTGATGCAGGTCCCGATGGCTGTGGCTGTCACTCGCTGATGGGGAGGGAACCACTGCGATGACAAGGCCGGCATGGCACCCATTCCAATAGGACCACCGAGACCGTTCAGAAACTGACCCACGTGGATGAGACTGTGAAAGTAGTAGAAAACAGCAGTAGAAGCACATCGGAACATTTGATGTTGTTTTTGTTGCTAAAGATTCAGCAAAAGCTGGGCCTTTGCCCTTCTGTCCAATGCCAAGCAGTGGAACATTTGATATCTTCAGTTGTTATTTCTTTTTGAGGGATTGGAGGAATCGGGCAAATACATATTGTATCTTTCGTTGTAATTTATTGCAATTATTTAAGCCCCCGTTTACACAACTAGTAATATAATTTTGACGGTGAGTTCTTTGACTCTATAAGCAAGGGGTTACACATCCTGCCTGATAGACATACCTACAAACTGACAGAGAGGATACTTGATAATACATTTGTGAGACGTGTTAAGAAAATGAATTACTTCTACTATTTTAGCTCTGTAGAAATAGATGTGTTGAATTGATAGGCTGAGTTTTTACAATTCATTAGTTTGAAATAATAAAAGACATGGTAAACTTGAAGAAAATGACTTCAACTGAGAGTCTACAAATTAACTCCGTTGTTGATTTTCTGCTGATATCTCCATTTGTGAAGTGCGAGAAGTAACTCATTTTGTCAGCACGTCCCATATTTTCTCCATATAGGAAACAAAGTTATACACAAACAAAAGTTTAGCAAATTCTTTTGATAAAAATGCTTTCTTTGAAATATTGTTAACATGCCTATTTGTATTCAAGTGTTTGTGTACCGGAGAGAGAGAGAGAGAGAGAGAGAGAGAGAGAGAGAGAGAGAGAGAGAGAGAGAGAGAGAGAGAGAAAGAGAGAGAGAGAGAGAGAGAGAGAGAGAGAGAAAGATTCATCATTTCTTTTTTAAATAATTAAAATACAGTCAAACCTGTGTAAGACGGCCACCCATTGTCAAGGAGAAAAGTGGCCGTATAAGACAGGTCGCCGTCTTAGGCAGGACTGATCAAAATGAAGAAAACAAACCATTCCCATCTGAGGTCCCAATCGAAAGTAGCCGCATTGTTGTTGTTTTTGTTGTTGTTTTTGTTGTTTTTGTTGTTGTTGGTTTGTATTTTGTTTGTTATTTTTATTTTGTTGCTGATTTTGCGCAAGGGTGACAATAAAACTAAATGTATCAGACGATGAAGACCGAGTGCCTTGTTAAAACAAACACATGGGTCGCCACCACTCGGAGAACGAGGGACGCTTCTGTCGCAAGTTCATGTTGACGTCCTTTGTTACTTTGTTACAGACTGAGTAAACACCACTGATCTCACTTACTGCTTGTGTATGAGTTCTGGGCGGGGCTTATGAGATATGAGGGTTCACATGCTTACCTCACCAACAGCTAAAAATCGGTACCTATTGGTCAACAGTGGGAGGGGCCTATGCAACATGATCGGTTGGAGGGACTACCTAACAACAACAAGTGATTGGATTATGACGGCTCGCCCACAACACCAGGGGCCAGTGCACAATTTATGACAAAACATAATGGAGTCACTAAGGTGGCCGTCTAAGACAGGTGTTATTGCTTAGTGTGATAGGGGTTGTGTGTTAAAATATTGTGGTCGCGGCCGCATTAGGCAGGTGCCCGTTTTACACAGTTAAATTATAATATAGAAAAAACGCAAGGGGGGAAATGGAAAGTGGCCGTTTGTACAGGTGGCCGTCTTATAGAGGTGGCCGTCAGGGCAGGTTCGACTGTATCAACATTTCTCTAGCTCTTCAACATCAGTGGGTTGCAGTGCACTACAGTAAACTATGGTAATTATGACCGCTTTTAAATACATTATAGCCCAAAACTCATGGCAACATGTGTGTCACCATGTGGAGGAATCAGGCGCTCATAAAAATTCGATGAAAGTAGCCAAACTGACGGGTTAATGCCAGTTTCTTCAATTTCATGATTTTGACGTACGCCTGATTTCACCACACTGCCTCACATATCATTGATAAAGCACAGAAATGTACACATGTGGCTCACATCCACGAGGAAAAGGCTCTTACATCGTGGCGGGTCCCGGCTCTGACGTGATCACCCTCATGGTGGAGCCGACAGCAACAAACAGCATGCTGGACACGGTGGCTATGCGCAAACCTGAAGGGAGAGGTTTTAGTTTTTGTGAGAGTCTTACGGCACTTGCAACACAATAAGGTCATATCTTCTTCTTCTCATCCATCTTTAAATGGACATCCCAGTATCTAGTGTGAAGGTTGCTGTTTTCGGCAGGTCCTCCAGGCCCTCTTAGAGTTTTGGATCTCTCTGCCTAGGGTTGGGTCAATATTTCTTTTTAAGTGCTATAAGGTCATATTATTAGTTCTGAAGATTAGAGGTGTTACAAGAGAGTGACCAAAAAAAAAAAAAAAAAAAGGAGAAGAGATAAGGAAGATTAATGTTTTATGGGAAAAAAGGTGCAGACCACATCAGAGCATCTGCTAACCAACCACTCTGAAGGGACAGCATTAGGGAAGGAATACAAAGGTGCCAACTGGCTATGGGGAAAAAAATCTTGAAATTGTATGAACCACTTGGAAACATGTACGAGGGTGCTTAAAACTTATGGACAGTAATTTTGTCTAATACACCTAATATCAAAACCATTTTTGCATAAAGCACAGTATACCACGCATAAAGAGACTGAACTATAAATAAATATATAGGAAGGAATACATATATACAACAATAGACAAAATGGTGATCAGCCTGAATTCGGGTATAATGAAGATAATTTCAGAAATTAGGATTTCTGGACTTATCCGGCAAATTGACATTCCGGGAGAAATATGCTGCAGAGTGTAGCACAACTTAAGAGCAGTCATAAATGTAAAAACGCCAACATATTAAAGATGTTCATTGTCTATCTCTGTCTCCAACCTTCCCTCTCTCTCCATTTGTCTATGCTATGCTAATAATCTCTCTTTTGCTCTTTTCCTTTCCTCTATAAGCCTCTTATCATTTCCCTTTCATTGTTTGATTTGAGACAAAGCATTTCAGGAATTATTCTTAAAAAGAACAAAAAAATTAACATTTGAAGAGCACAGGGGAAAAATGACTGTAGTCACAAACTGAAAACTTTGAGGGTGCCAATTTTAAAAGCTTGTAGATTCAAACCTTCCTATTTGTTTGACAGGTGGTTTATTGTAAAGGGTTGCTGAATGGGAAATCTAACAACAATAATCAACCAACAATTGAACAGAAATACAGTTTCGAGTCAACAGGCATTCAAAATAGGTACCCTCCTGATTTTAAGTCTGTGACTACAGTCGTTTTCACCCAGTAGTCTTTATTTAGTTTTGGGAGCAGAGATCTCTTTTGCTTTATCTGTCTTTCCCCAAAAAATATTTTCATCCATTATCTCTGTCTTTCTGATGAGATGCTGGATCTCAACACCATTGCTTTTATCTTCATCTCTTTCCCCACATCTCACTAACCTTTGACCTGCATGAGCCATGGATAGAAGAGCCCGACCAGCACGTAGGAGACCGGCCCCCAGTTGACCATCCAGGCGATGGTGGCATCGCTCCAGCCAAACGCTTCCTCCGCTGTGTCCGATATGGCACCCCACGAGGCCCAGATGCAGTTCTGGGTCATGGCGTAGAGACTGAACACTATCAGGACATACCAGCGGCGCTTGTAAACCTGTGGCAGTACAAGAAAAAGTTGTTGGTCTACAGACCCGTTGATTTGACTTTCTCTTTACTGTCATGTAAGCTCAAGACTGAAAACAGCTCTTATTATTAAATCTTGAAGTGTCATTATAAAACAGTATATTAAAAAAATTAAATAGACGTTTTAGGTAGGTATTTGTGAGGTAGTGGTGGAATCAGGCTCTCGTCAATTTTTGGGCATATTGAGTTATTGGTATCATCTTAAAGCTTGTTCATTTGTCTTCATTTGGATGAAAAAAATATATGATTATCTTGAATACAAGTCGAGATATTCACAAATGAAGGAGGTGGGGGTCAACTGTTTTCAGAGGTAAAATTAGTGAGAAAATGACCGCCAAAGTTTAGTTATTTCCTTACCTTAAGAGTCCGTGGCAACTGAAAATTTACATAGTGTACCTGTAATCAACGTTTTTCAGAAAAATCCACCCAGAAATGAGTTCTTTAATGGGCACGAAAGGTGTTCAACCAAAAATAAAAAATTTCAAAAAAATTCACAAACTTGCGGAAAAATGCCAGTTTCTTCACTTTGATTATTTGGACGAGAGCCTGATTCCACCACGCTGCCTCACAAATGTTTACGACCACCTGGAGACAATACGCAGTTTCTCTGTCATTGCAGAGTAACACAGTGGCTTCTTTCTATTTTGAAACAACTTCCACTATTTTTGATCTCTTCTTTTTCACTTTGAAACAACTTTCACTATATATCGTCTGTCACATCATACGCTTAGACTGAATGTCCCCACTATATTTTATTAGTATTTTGAAGGCTATGAGCCTCTCTGAAAGTTTTTTTCTTGATGAATAACTGTACTAAAAATAGGGGGAAAACCCTTACTTTCGGATATTCAAAGAGCCCAAATAATGTGTTTTTCATTGTTTATGAGGGATTTGTCAGCCTCAATTAGTCTGCCAGAATATCAGATAGGACTCTTAATTAAATCTAATTCAATTTTTTTTAATTAAAAGAACTGTCTGAAGATACTAGTCCATTTTCAAAAATTTCTCTCAAGAGACATAATTGTCTTAGCCGGTACCAAAATCAGAATGGAACCTTTAACTTCCGCATGAGAGGCAAACACCGTATCCCTCAGCTGATGAGCCTTGTGTTTATACATAGAAACCTTTACCAATGCTGATATTTGGTCACTTTTAATCACTAAATCATGTATAGACATCCCAGATTGGGAAAGCTATTTATGGTCTTTCTGTCTACTGGGATATTGCCTCCCATTCTGCCCGTATTGGCAATAACAAGTAGGGCTGGTTGAAGAAGCCCGTCTCCTAAACAATCTTCATTGAGCTAGTATGGAGGCATGAAGCACTTCCACTTACATTGCTGTATAGACACTGACCTTGAGCTCACTCTCAGGTGCATCTTTAGAACTGGAGGGGTCTTCTGTGTCCTTCGCTGTGGGGGGGGGG